CTCTTTCTCAGTCTAACCTACCTCGCAGGATTATTGTGAAGATAAAATGAGAAAGAAGGAAGCTCTGTGCAGGAAGGGAGGGACAAAAATGTGATAGGTGGCAGGTGCCCTCCCACTGTCTTCCAAGAGATGGGCTTGTACATTTGTGGGCAATACCCACTGAAATACCTACCTGGTGGAATGAGCTCCCAGAGGAGATCTGGGCCCTGTGTGACCTTGCGCAGTTCCGCAGGGCCTGTAAGACAGAGCTCTTCCGCCAGGCTTTTGAGTAGGAGCCGCCGCCACCACTATTCCATCACCGTCATCTTCTATTTCCGCACCTCTACCACCATTGTGTGGGAATCATCAGGGTGCGAGACGTTCCTGAATGAAGATGGGATGACAGTGCTGTTGGGATGTATGTTGTTGGTCTGGTAATACTAACTCCAGAACCCCATCTTGTAATTTATGATTTATGTGATCTTTAGAGCACTGACATTTTAGTGTATTGTATTGTTTTATTCTGGTTTGTATTGTTTTATTCTGGTTTTATTTTATTTAACGTTGGCATTTATGCCTCATTGTTAGCCGCCCTGAGCCTTCGGGGAGGGCGGTATATAAATCTATAGATAAATAAATAAATAAAAATATTCAAATTCCTGAGAAATTTACCCCTCCAGCATCACTTGATGAAAAGTGCTTTTTCATAACACATGGGCTAGCTTGTTTGAGGATAAGATCTAAAGAAAAATTACACCTTGAGTCCTGCTTGCGGGAAATGGAGCGGGATAGAAATTAAATGTTGTTGTTGTATGGGCTGTAGGCACCATTGGTAGCTTGTCCTCCCTTGGAAGTAGAATAAAGTACGTTTAAAAAAATCAGAAATGTTACAATATCATGCAGTTTTTTAGAAATTACAATATTCTACTTTTCGTTGAATATTTAGTGCCCAGCTCGGGGTATAGGGTTGCCAACCTCTGCGTGGGTCCTGGAGATCTTCCAGAATTACACCTGATCTCCAGCCTTCAGAGATCAGGTCCCCTGGAGAAAATGGCTGCTTTGGAGGGTGGATTCCATGCCACTGTACCCCACTGAGGTCCCTCCTGTCTGCAATTCCTGACTTTTTTCAGGCGCCACCCAAAATCTCGAGGAATTTCCCAACCCAGAGTTGGCAACCTACCTGGCTATGGCCTGTACCCAGTCTCACATCATGTGGAGGCCCTGCAGTGCTACCCGAATCTGGGCCAAAGTCCTGAGATGTGTTTGTCCTTTGTACTGTAAAGCCCACATCTGCAGAGCTGCAGTTTCCAGGCATGATCTCAACCCTTCTTTGACCCTCAACCTTCCCTTCTTTGCCTTGCAGCGTCAGGCCACCAGGATGGAAGAACTGCAGTCCCACCCCAGCGTGGCTTTCCTAAATGTGGCTCCAAACTATGTCCCCCACACCAAGGTGGAATGTCACTACAACCTTCCCCCGGGTATGAAACCTTCGGCTAGAGACTGGATCGGGATCTTCAAGGTACAGCAACAGGGGAGAAGATTTCTAGCGAGGGTGCAAATCCGGACTCTGAGTCTGTTTTGTTTTTGCATGCTGTCTAAAGCCCCTTTGCTTCCATCTACCATCATTTATCACTTTTTGGATCTGACAGTGCATCACAAGGCAGGGGCTTCCATTACATCATTGATGCACCTTTAGCAGACCTGGTCTACCCTTGCAGCAGAATGTGGGGATGCAGAATGGACTGTCCCACTTCTGACTGCAGCTGGGGGGGTTGCGTTCTGAATGCTGTCTAAAAAGTTATTTGGAAGTAAGAATTTGACACAGAAGAGAGATGAGAGAACTGGACTAGACTTTTTCTTTCTTGATGTCATGGGGTGTTTGGGGTAGTTTTTTTTAAAAAAAATTTACAGGAACTTTTTACAAGAGGAGCATTAAAAACTGGTATCCCACACTTGGTTCAATCCATTCTACCTCCTTACTCTGAGGGAGGAAACACTTCCTTCACAGAAGATGATCCAAGGCTATTCTTTTAAGAATGAACTAAGTGGTTCCCTTTTCCTGCTATAAGCGCAGGGAATCTAGTGATGAGCTCTGGGGTGCAGTTCAGTAGGGTTTCCATCCTTATTCTAATAACTGGGGGAATGCTTCCTATCCCATAGTGAATACTGTGGAGCAGCTGGATTTTTTCTTAAGACCGAGAACTTGAGAAAGTTGTCTTTGGGATGCCCAGTAATTGTCCTTTTGCCTTGGTATTAACATAAATGTGGAATGTAGCTTGATGGGTCACTAAGGCCTGATAGGGATATGCAACAGAGTGAGGTGGTATGCTAAAGCACTTCAGGCTGCTAGTTGGAGGTAACATTAAAATGACAAGTCTCCCTGTAAGTAGAAAACTAACATAACGGTGTGGATGAAGTTAGAATCTTTCTCCCTGAGTCGCTAGGTTTTTACTTGCAGGGAGTTTGGGGGATAGAGAAGGATTCATTCAGAAGCCAAACTGGCATTTCTGCCAACCTATGTAATAGGTCCCATCTCTGGATTCTCTGTTGATTCTTCTGGATTCTTCTGGATGTGAAGACCAGACTTAAACCAGGGGTAGCTGGGAGACTCCAGGCAGCCCAGATCATTTCTCCTTGTTATGAGCTTATGACTCCAGTCCAGATTCCTGCCATAGTGAGAGAGACAAACCTCAAGGCAAAACAGGCAGAACAGATGCAACAGAAGAAGTCGGATCTCTTTCACTTTCTGTTGTTTTGTGCCCCCACCCCATCATATGATACGGAAATTTTAGCAATATGCTCAGGAGGGTCTTCCGAGATTCTCTTTTCCCCTTCTGTTTCTCAGGTGGAAGCCTCTTCAGTCCGTGACTACTACACCTTTGTGTGGTGCACCCTGCCAGATGGGGGATCTTCTGGGGGAGCCCTTCTTCACTGCAGTGTCCAGTTCCAAGGTGGGTGTGCCCAGAGGGTAGTCCCAGGGACTCAGTAAATGGAGATTCCCCATTAACATTAGAATTGAGGTTTTCAGAATCAGGTGGAAAGTGGATCCAAGAAATAAAGAGCAAGGCAGATAGAACTGAGCAGAGATAGGGGCTATTGACTTTTGCTGCACAGTTGGTTTAAGTGAGATGTTCAGCTTGACCACTTTTAAAACCTGCACACAAGAGTTATACAACCATGCACGCATACTATATGCATGTTAGGCAAAAGCTATTTTCTTGATGAGCTACAAAATATTCCCCTCCACACACTCTCAGTCATTGGTTGAGCTGTTGTGATGTCACAGAATGTTCATGGCCCTTCTGATTAGCAAGGGATGTTAGCTTTTTAATGAAAATGGTCTTCATGACTTCATAACTTAATGATGGTGTCATTAAACCATTATTAGTCAGTTTTATTTACATAAATTGCCAGAATAGATAAGCACCTTCATCTTGTTTACAGCTAGCTACCTGCCGAAGCCAGGCCCCCAGCAATACCAGTTCCGCTATGTGGATCGCCATGGTGAAGTTCGTGGTCAAAGCTCCCCTTTCCAGTTCAGTGAGCCACGGCCTATGGATGAGCTTGTCACCCTGGAGGAGGCGAGCGATGATGGTGGGGGCACAGACATGCTCTTGGTGATCCCCAAGGCCACTCTGCTAGAGGTAACACACTCCAAGACAGGTTCACAAATCGTATCGTAAGCCACCAATCCTGCCCCATATCTGATCTTTGGCTGGCTCTTTCTCCAGCTGTTCAGCATAGGAGATCTTTCACTGTATAGAAAGGCTGTAGACTGGAGAAAACAGGAAGTCTTTACTCCCGTGAGGTAACTCCTTCATCACTTTCATTCAAATATGCAGAAAAGGCCCTGCAAGGATTCAGAGCTTGAGGCTTGTGACCTGAGGCCTAGTCTGAGGAGGTGTGTTCTCATCCCTCAGGGCCCTCTTACAAGCACCAAATGGAACAGAGATATGTCATGCTGGCTCCTGCAGTTGACAGGCAGGTATGAAGCCTCTTGACTGGCCAGGTGGATATACTAAAAGCTTGACCTTCTGACCAACCTAGGCATGAAAACATAAGAAGTGCCCCACTGGATCAGACCAGAGGTCCATCTAGTCCAGCATCCTGCCTCATACAGAAGACAACAAATCGCCAACAAACAGGGCACAGAGGCCAAGGCCTTCCTCTGATGCTGCTTTCATTTAGAAGTTCACTGTCTCTGGAGTATCTCTTTAGTCACCACAGCTAGTAGCCATTGATGGACCTGCCCTCTGTGAATATAATTACATAAGAAGAAGGTCAGCAGCAAGATCTTCTGTCATTTCCCTAGTACTTCCTCCCTTTTGGGCATTGGCTGAAAAGACCCTGGAATAGAGCCACTGGTCCATCCCTTGCTCTAGGCATGGCCAACAGCCATGGTCTGCTCCTGGCAAGAACCTGGTACAGTCCTCCCTGAACCGTACCACTTCAGACTGCAGGGTAGGAATTGCATCTTTTTGCACCATAGAGACAGTCTTCCTGTGTGCAGATAGTGAATATGTCTGGGAGAAGATTAGGCTAAATCTCTTCTCCTGGATATGCTCTCTACGTGCAGACAGTTTCTCTTTAGTGTGTATAGGGTAGTATTCAAAGATGAGAGCCCCCACCCAGCAAGGGCCATACCGTATGCTTTTAAACAAAAACCGCAGGAACATTACAATGAACTTGTGAGCACAGATCTGTAAAATGTGTTCAGGGACAGGTCTCAGTGCTCTTTGTCCTTTCTCCCCTCGCAGACTCAGCTGGAGGCGAGCCGGCAGGAGCAAGGAGCCCTGCTGAGGGAGTCGTGCCGCCTGAAGGACGAGGTCCAGGAACTGAGAAGCCGTGTGGAGGAGCTTGAAGCCGTCCTCAGTTCACTGCGTGACGAACACACCAAGCTGGCCAGACAGTACAAGGCAAGGGAGGAAGGGGGGGGGGGGTTGGGCAGGCTCTGAACTGCAGCCCTGGTCCCTTGTCCTTCAAGTGCTCGTGGGGGAATTGTAGCCAGTTCTTTTGCCGTGGTCCAAGTAGACACCCTCAGAAAGGGCTGAGCTGGCCACGTAGTAATGTCCAGAGTCTGACTGCAGGAAGACATGTCTTGACCTCTCCCTTCCTTGACTCCCCTCTTTTATAGCATGCCACCCCCCTTGTGCACACACGCACACCCTCCCAGAAGAGATAGTGGAGCATGCCTCTTTCACATTCCTTTAAACCAGGGGTGTCAAACGTAAGGCCTGGGGGCCGGATCCGGCCCATCCAGGGCTCTTATGCAGCCCGCGAGCAACTGACACAAGGGAGGAAGTGCTGGTGGGGGTGATGATTACAAGCATCACTTTCTAGACAGCTGTGTAGGCAGAGTGCTTCAGAATGGATCCCCAGTTACAGCCCTTGGCCTCTCCCTGCTAGGCTGACTGGAGTCCAACTGTCAAAGCTGAGGCTGCTCCCTGACCCAAGGTGTTTTCTCACAGGAAGGAATTCCATGTTCTTATATCCCTTATCCAGCCATACCCCCTAACCAAACCCTTCAGATTTGATTCTTATGAGTAATCTGAAGTTGCTGTAGGTCAGTTATCCACATGACTTCATCACACCCTTATGACCTGAAGCACTGGAGGTGATCAACCCAGGCCAGGTCTGGATCTATATGAACAGTGTCTGATAGAGGGAGCAAGAGTGTTTGGTACTGTTCACACAAGAATCCCTTGCCCCCCTTCTTCCTCAGGAGGAGAATCAAGGCTGGTGAAGTCTTATGTGGATGTCCCAGAGTACTCCTCTGTTTTTTGGAGAGAGAGATACTCAGGAGAAATTTCCTTGTTCTTGGGGTTCTCTTTCTGCATTATCTTAAACTCCCTTCTCCTACTACCTTCTCTTTTATCTTCTTCGTAAGTGATGGAAAAGAGTGAAACCTAATCTCAGCCAGCCACTGTTTGACCAGTCACCTCCATCACACATGGTACCCAAGAGGTTGTACCTCACCACCTTGAGAAACCCTTGCCTTTTCTCCCTTGGGGATAATTTAGGCAAACTTCTTTATAAAGAGAGCCATAGATTGCCATTAGGGCTTTCAACTCATTAAAGAATTTTTAGTTGATTGACAGGGCTATACTGAATGTTCTCAGTGTTTGTTTGTTTTTAGATGAAGCTAGCTGCATGAGGGTGAGGAGCATTTGTCCCCAAATATTTGCAAATATTTGTTTTCTTGAATGACATCGTTGTTTCCTTTTGCTGTGGTTCAGCACCTCATTTCCCCTAGCAGGTGCCTCTTCCTCCTTTCCTAGATTAGAGAGCTAGTGTGGTATAGTGCTTAGAGTGTCAGAGTCTGGGAGACCTGCATTTTAATCTACACTGATGCTTGCTGGGTGGCCCTGGGCCAGTCACACTCTCTCAGCCTACCTTACAAGATGGTTGTTCTATGGAGGAGGAAGAGGGTGAAACTACACACACCACTCAGAGCTCCTTTAGGGAAGGACAAGAGAGCTTGATATATAATTAAGGTCCCGCCCACTTGAGGATTTCAAAAATGATGATGAGATGATGTTACACTGCCAATCAGAGCTGACTGTGTGATGATGTCACAGGAGGGAAGTGAAGGCGATTTAAAATGAAGCCAGTTTAGATGAATAAGCAAACATTTTTGCAGAGTCCTTGGAAAGATGAGGCATATTGCCAAAACCTCAACATAAGCCCCATTTAGAGAGAGGGAAAGAAGTGAGATGCCACAGTTTGCTTAACAAATAACAAACCAGTTATTGTCACAAAGGAATGTTTATTTATTTATTTGTTTGTTTGTTTATTGCTTCTATTTGTATCCCGCCTTGCCAGACACGCTGGCTCAAGGCAGCTAACAAAGTTAAAATAACATGTACAATACAGAGTTAAAACAATTAATAAATACAATACCAAATTAAAACAGCAAGTTTACAAATAAAACCAACAGATGATGGTGATAGTCTAAATCACATCCAATGATAGGGGTAGCATCCAGCGAGGTCTCAGGCAAGAAGATATTCTAGATTTCAGGCCAGAAGATGTTCCAGGGCAGATTCATCAGTGGCAGCCATCTTTAATTTTTAAATGCTTTCTTTTTCGTCCTGTGTTACAGTAACACACCAGAACCAACTACCTGCATAAAACTAACAGTAACACACCAGAACCAACTACCTGCATAAAACTAACAATTATGCATTTAACTCTTACACTTTATCATTACCAGATAAAATTGGTCTCCACTGATTAAACAGCTAATAACCAACTAATCAACTACTAATTATAGCAGCCTCCAACTATCTGCGTTATCATATATGCAAATTGTGAATCTCCCTGCCCCATTCTTTGGGAAACATCCCACATCTGGTAGCCTGCATCCTGCCACACCAAGATTAGTTCTTCGAGAATAACAGACAGGAAGTAGGCCCAGTGACATCATTTTTTTTCTTTTTACCACTCAGTCATGAGTTGAAGCTCCCACCCTGCTCTTTTCCCCAAAACAATGAAGAAACAGAGATAGTTGGGGGTGGCGGGGATCTGATCTTACTAGGTTTTTAAACTCAGTCTCCATTATTTTCATTTTGAGGTAGTGATTTTCTATCATAGGTGCTAGGTACCCCTGTACACATAGCTATATCTAGTAGCCCAGCATCCATCCACTACCCCCTTTTATGATTATGAGAAACTGAGGCCTCCCTCACACCAGGGGCTTTGCTACATACTAGAGAGATGTTCAAGATATGCAAAAAAATATGAATTTGTAAATTAGCCAAGGGGAGGAGGGGTGGTCTCCAAAAACAGGAGGCACAAAACATTAGCAGTTGTGTGTCAGTTGAAACAGAAAAGGGGGGAGGAGGAAAAATATTAAAAGGGAGGGGACTTTGGGGAGAATTTCCAAGCTGCCTCCCTGCTGAGTCGTGGGTGTGTGTATTATGTGCATACTAGGGAGCAAAGCCCATTGTGGACGGAGACAATGGGCACCTAGACAGGTAGGGTGGGTGAGTGCACTCCCATGGATAGCTATGGGCGAGAGGGAGGCCAGGTCTACTCACATGGGGAGTCCAGGTCTACTCCCATGGGTTCCTATGGGGAAAGGGGAGTCCGGGTCTACTCCCATGGTTTCCTATGGCGAGAGGGAGACCAGGTCTACTCCCATTGGTTCCTATCGGGAAAGGGGGCCGCCGCCCGTTGGCGCGAGTCCGCATCCCGCGAAGACAGGCAGGGTCCCTCACCGGGCGCACGGGGAGGTTGAGCGACACAGACAGGAAAGGGCAGGTGGCGGAAGGCGGCGGAAGGCGGGGCTGAGAACCGCGTCCCCTTCCAGCGGCTCGCTTGGACGGGCCGCTGAGAGGGAAGGGGAGGGGGTTTAAACCGCAGGTGAGCGAGGGCAGCGGAAGGAATCCGGCTTCCCAGGTGGGAGAGAGAAACGAGGCGGGTGGGGAAGGGGTCAGAAAGTGCGTCTGCCCTGGCCGCCCGGTCGTCTGCCTCCCTCCCCCCCCTCGCAGCCTGAAGAGTCGGAGGCGTGAAGCTGCGTCTGAGGTGGGAGTTAGGGGAGATGGCCAATGGACGCTGGGGAAGATTTGAGGGACAGTTCAGCCGGCGTAACACTGTGGGTGTGCATTTTCTCTCCTCTGCGTGAGTCTGCGTCTTGTGTCTATATATAAGGGAGAGATATCTATTTGAAGCCAGTTTGGTGTAGTGGTTAGACTAGGAACTGTGACATCAGGGTTCAAATTGAAGAAGAAGAAGAGATTGGATTTATACCCTGCCCTTCACTACCCAAAGGAGTCTCAGAGCAGCTTACAAACTCCTTTCCCTTCCCCTCCCCACAACAGACACCCTGTGAGGTAGGTGGGGCTGAGAGAGCTCTTGACAGAAACTGCTCTTTTTCAAGAACAACTATGCCAGAACTATGGCTTGCCCAAGGTCATCCAGCAGGTGCAAGTGGAGGAGTGGGGAATCAAACCCGGTTCTCCCAGATTAGAGTCCACACACTTAATCACTACACCAAATTGCCACCATATGCCGTGAAGTTTACTGGGGGACTCTGGGCCAGTTGCTGTCTCTCAACTTAATCTACCTCACAGGGTTGTTGTGAAGATAAATTGTGGGCAAGAATGATCCAGAACACCCTAATCACCTTGGAGGAAGGGTGGTATGAGAATGTGCTGGATATTCTTCACCATCATGCATTCTGGCCTTGAAACTTAGCCTTTTACGTTCCAGGGTTCTCTTGAAAGGTCTAGAAGAGACCCTTTAATTGCTGTCTTGTTTGTGGTCCTCATTAGCTACTTAGAACTTCAGTGTCCTTCTGTCACCAGCAGCAGCTAGAAAGGCTTTCCTAATGGCTGCCACACTCTGGCATGGATCTGCTCAGGAGGGCCCAGAGCACCCACCCTACCCCTTCGTACACTCCTTTTCCAGTAGGTTTCCCCTTATAAGTAACTGAGAGAGGCATGAGGACCCAGGCAGAGTAACAAACTATTTTTATTAAAGAGATTCAACAAGAACTGTAGTTCAATAACATGTAGGAAAAATGAGCACAGTAAAGGTAGGGAAACCAGCAAAATAAGAAACCCTAACGTGTCTTATACTGTCCCTAGCCTTCTCTATGTATTTGGCCTCAAGATGACTCACCCCTTTTTGGATGAGGGATCCCTCCATTTGCAGTAGCTTCCCACCAGCTCTGCTTCCTAGGAGTGAATCACCTCCCACTTTGGGCAAAGCCTTTCATTTCTTCCCCCTAGGCAACATCCTCTACTTTTCTACTGGCGTTCCCTACAAATCCCCTGTTAACCAATCACAGGATCCAGAGGAGACCTGGGAAATGTAGGCCCTGATAGCTACTCTAATACAGGCTTCCCTGGAGCCACTAGGCCTCCCTAGAACCTGTAGGCTGCACTACTGTAGGCCTAGGATCATGACACCTTCCCAGTAAGTTTTTGGCTTTTGAGCTGGAGTTTGTAGGACATTCTCCTTCTGCGCCGATGGAATCCAGCCTTGTAGATACTGTTTCCTCTCCATTCTTAGAGAAAATGGATTTTCTGCCATGAACATACATTGTTAGCAACATTCCTTGTGTGCTGTGGAGATTATTCATTCTTCACTACCTTCTCCACCAGGAATTATCAAATTCTTATGAGGAAGTGTCCAAGCAGAAAGAGACCCTGAGCCTTCGAGAAACTGAGCACTTGGCCCGGATCCGAGAACTAGAGGGCGATATCCAGGCAATGGGTGAGAAGATGCTGCAGAGGGAGACGGAACTTGACAGGTGAGGTCCATAGCTGGGAAGAACCCCAAGAGAAGCCCTACACAATTACACAAATATGCTAGAATTTATAAATACGGAGTTATTTCATTACAGCCCATCCTTTTCATTGACTGTGGTCCAGTTACTAGAAAGAGGTAGAATAGACTGCTTCTGTTTCTCTCTCACACACACACCCAATGCCGGAGAAAGCCATTATATTCTTCCTTCATGCTTCCAAAATAACCAACCTGGGGCAAAGCAGTATGGATACTCTTGCCCTGAAACTATAGCGAGATAGGGCCATTCCATCTTAATCATCCTCATCAGCAAGACTCATCTCCGGTCATCGGGGGGGGGGGCTCATTGCCTCATTTCTCTCTGCAAGCAGTTAATTGTTTCAACTGTTCCCACTTGCTGACCATTTGGGGTCATTCATGGCTTGTCATGCCACTCAACAGTCTCACCCACTAGAGACAGACCTCATGAGTAGTCACTGAATCACCAAAGCTCTATCATCTATACTGCTAGAGCCCAAACCATCCTGGAACTGGTGAAGTGCAAGAGTACAGCTGATTTCAGAGGACCTATGCCCGTGTCTGAGCCAATGTAACTTAGTTCTGTCATCAACCCCCTAAATAAACCTACTTACTTAGAGCCAAAGATGACAGCTCCCACACGATTGTTTAGAATTGATCCTCACTCACCAAGGTGATTTTTTTTTTTTTTTTTGGCCCCCCGGAGGGGATTTTTTATTGCTTTTTTAATTAGACTACAAACTACAAAGAAATAAGGGAAGGGAACTACAATTAAGGAGAAAGTAAAGATAACCACTACTAACTAAAACCCCAAGAGAAGGAGATCATTAAAACAGCTTAAGTACAAAATCATTCCTTGAATCGCTAATATCTTTTGAACTTAGTCAGACATGCTAAAATATATTTTAAGACTTAGATTTGTTAGAGAGAAACCCCAGAATATCCCATTATTAAAAACCATATTTTCAAAGGCACAATTCAGAGTCCTTCAGCCTTCATTTTTTCTTTTCTTGTCTTTTCCTCAGTTTATAAGGACTTTTAGGGGCAGTCGCCCCTTTTTTCGCCTTTCTCAGCTTATAAGGACTTCTTGGAGCTGCTGCTCCCTGTTCAGTCAAAGAGTCCTCCCCGGAAGATCCTGAATCCAGTTCTCCACTCGATTTCCCACCTTCTTCCTCTGCTCCTCCCAACTGGGCCTTCAGGAACTCTTTAGCTTTAAACACAGAATCAATCTTCTCTTTTTTATCCTTCATCTTGAAAGTCACTCCTTCCGGAAATAGCCATTTATATCCAATTGAATTGGTCTGAAGAAAAGTCACCAGTTCTTTATATTTCTTCCTCCGTTGTCTTACATCAAATTGAATATCCTTTAGCGTTCTGACAGCATTTCCCCCCACTTTTAGGGGTGTTCCAGCAACTGCTTTCAGGACTGCATCCCTTATGTGCCTCTTCAAGAATCTTACCACAATTTCCCCTGGCAGATTATTTTTCTTTATGTAACCTGAATATGATCTAAAGACCACATTCATCTCGCTTTTCAGAAATTCCGCCTTCATATCTGCCACTGGGGCAAGTAGCTCACACATCAGTTCTTTAAGAGTCTCACCCGGTTTTTCTGGCACCCCCTGGAAGCATAGGACCATGTTGGCCTTATCCATTTGGACTTGCAGCAATTGATCTTTCATAACGCCTTGTTCTGTTTCCAACTTTTTGACTTTTTTCTTCACCTTTTGAGTCTCTTCAGCCACTTCCTTAACTTTTTCACTGTCCTGTTTCATCATTTGTATCATCTCGGTTATCTGTGTTTGTTGCGCTGTAATTCCTTGCGTTACTACCGTCATCTGTTCCTTAAAGGTGTTCAGCTGCTCTAGCAGAAGGTGCATATACTCTGCTACTGCTTTAGCCGTCTCGTTTGTCACTTCCGGTTTTGAATATGCGCTTGATCGCTTTTATTCGCTCTGGTGAGTGTTTCTCGGCACTTTTCTACGCGTTTCCGTCTGCTCCCCCCCCTCCACCCATCAGTTTATGCGCATAAGGAGTTCCCCCACCTGCTCGTTTTCTTTCGCTCAGTAAAATGGGGTAGGGAGCCTCTTTTCTTTTAAAAATCGTTTCTCGGTTGTCTCACGTTCATAGTTGGCCATCCGACCACACTTCTTGCATCATTTCAAGCACTTGATCTCCTACGCTTGATCCAGCTAACGTCTCTTGTACCATTCGGTCTCTTGGCTTGAAGGACCACCGGAGCAAAGGGGCGCCTCAATTCTCTGGCATTCCACCATCGAAGAGGCCACCCCTCAAAGCTCCCTGGCTAGGGCCCCTTCCCCAGGTCCCTGGGGGGGGGGTTACGAGCCAGCTCGCTCCCTCCTTCCGCCGGAGCACGGAGACACCCCCGGGAGGTGCGGCCGCATTCGAGCTGCCATCAACCGGAAGTCCGGCAGTTGCCCCTTTTTCAGAAAGAGAGTCCTCTCCGGAAGACCCCGAGTCCAGCTCGCCACTGGACTTACTGTCCTTCTCCTCTTTAGCCACCTCCTCTGGCTCGCCCAACTGGATTCTCAAAAAGTCCCTTGCTTTGGGAACAGAGTCAATCTTTTCTTTTTTTATCCTGAAGTTTGAAGGTTACGTCCTCTGGATATAACCACCTGTAGCTAATTGCATTTGTTTGAAGAAAAAGAATTAAATCATTATATTTCTTTCTCCTTTGTCTTATTTCAAATGGGATGTCTTTCAGGCTCCTGATTGTACTGTCCCCAATTTTCAAGGGTGTCCCCGCCATCGCTCTCAGGATAGAAGCCCTCACATGCCTCTTCGAGAATCTCATTACTATTTCCCCAGGCAGATTATTCTTCTTTATGTATACGGAATAGGACCTGTAGGCCACATCCATCTCACTCATAAGATGCTCCGCCTTCAAATCTGTCACTGGGGCTAATGCATCGCTCATCACTTGCTTCAGATTCTCTCCTTTGAATCGAAGGACCAAGTTTGCCTTCTCCATTTGTAGCTGTAAAAGTTGTCCTTCTTTTCCAGTTTTTGCACCTTTTTTTTCACCTTTTGGGTACTGGCGTCAACTTCTTTCACTTTCTCAGCTGTTTGCTCCGTGATTTTGAGTCTCATTAAATTGAAGCTGCTGAGTAGTGATGCTTTGGTTCATCATTGACAACTGTTCTTTGAGATTAGTCATCTGGTCCAGCAGGGGGCGCAGGGATTCTGCCAACGTTTTAGCCAACTCAGTGGTTTCTTCCAGACGAGTGCTCCCAACTACTTTCGCTTTTGAAAGTTTTACTTTCTCAGTCCTCTTCCCCGCCATTTTTATGGATTGTTTACTTTCTGAAAATTTGCTAAAGTCTCTGAATATACGCTCATGCGCTTATCCGCACCCTGGTAAGTCTCTCCCAACAGATTTCAGCATTTTTGCTTCCTCTCCCCCCTCGGGTCTCGCATTTAAGTTCATGCGCATGGGAGGGGCCCCTCCCCCCGCTCGCTTTCTTTCCTAGTCCTTGGGGTGGGAGCTTTCTTTTTAAAATGTCAATTACGCTCTAATCCGACTCACAGTTTATAGTCAGTCTTGCGACCTCGCTGTAGCTTCGTTTAAACCGCTCGATCTCCAGCGCTTGTCCCAGTCAGCGTCACTAGTTCCATACGGACACACAGCAGGAGGACCATCAGGACGGAGAAGCGCCTCGATTCCCCAGCATCGCGCTGGCGAAGAGGCCACCTCTCAAAAGTCCCATGGCTAGGAGCCTTTCAACCAGGCTCCGGGGGGGTAGCGAGACGTCGCCTCCCCTCCTTTCTGCTGGTGCGCAGATTTCATCCCTGGTAGGTCCGGGAGATGAGTCTGCTCAGCGTGCCACCATAAACCGGAAGCACCAAGGTGATCTTATCATAAGAGATTGACTAGTTTCTCAGTCTCATGGGTCTTTGTCAATATGCCAGGTTTTGTTTGGGAAAGTTCTGCCCATGGAAGTTCATCCATCAAAATCCCGTGTGGTATTCCTCGAGCTTTGGAGCACAACAAAAACGCCACTGAAGCATCAGCTTGGGCCCCGGTCCAGGAAGCCTCAGGTTGCCTGTTCTGGTTTTAGAAAGCAGGATGCAGTGAATGAAGAGCTCACCGAAGCCAGTTCCTAATAGCGCTTCAGCTCATTCTGGACAGGAAAGAAAGCAGGCCTCCCAATCTGTGACACTGTCCCTTCTTCTCCTCAGGGTGAAGGACACCATCAAGTCTCTTCTGCATGAACAAGAACAGATTCACAATCAGCTCAAAAAGGAAAATGCTGAGAAGGAGCAGTACCAGGTGAGGGTGGGCAGGAAAACAGTGTGAGAAGAAAGTACAGATGCCAGGACAAAATTGGAGCCAGCCGGGTAGTACAGTGCTGACTGGTTGACTTCTTCTCTCTCCCCAAGGTGAAGCTGCAGGCCTCGGAGGAGGAGAGCCGCAGCTTGGCTTCTGACCTGCTGGAAGCCACGACCCTTCATGGCGAGAGGGTCTCGCAGACTCTGCTGCTGAAGGAGGACATCAACAAGTTGCAGCAGAAGCTAGCCGCTGCTAATCGTCGCACTGTAAGTGTGTCCCAGATCTGGAAGCTGCAGCTGGTGCAAAACGTGGCAGGCAGGCTGTTGTTGGGCCTCCCTATGCAGGAGCATATCCAGACTGCGCTAAAAGCACTGCACTGGCTGCCTATAGCATAACAAATTCAGTTCAAGGTGCTGGTTCTTACCTTTAAAGCCCTATATGGTCAGGGGTCTACATACCAAAGGACAGCTGTTCCCCCACATGTTCCTCAGAGAGCACTACGATTGGGGTCTCAAAATCACTTGGCCCTTCTGAGCCCCAGAGAAGCCAGGCTTGCTGTGATGAGAGTGGTGGCTCCGTACTGGTGGAATGAGCTCCCGGAGGACATCAGGGCCTTGTGGGTCCTTTTACAGTTCTGTAGGGTCTGTAAGATGGAGGCCATCCACCAGGCTTTCAATTAGGGAGCTGCACCCAAGAATCTGTGACCCTGGCCCTAACACTAACATCATTGTTGACAGCCAATCAACCCAGATTACAGTGTCAGTCAGCTGTCGCCTTGAGGGTGCTGCTATGCCCGCCCTCTGATACAAACTAGCACTTCATATTTTATAATATTTATAATTGCACTGTTCTGATTTTATTTAACTCTTGTTTTAATTGTTTTATACCTTTGTGTAAGCCGCCCTGAGGCGCTGCGGTGGCTCAAGTGGTTAAGACGCTGAACTGCAGGCTGTGGAAGGTCGGTAGTTCAGCAGTTTGAGACCCGAGTGTGCCGCATGACAGAGTGAGCTCCCGTCTCTAGTTCCAGCTCCTGCCAACCTAGCAGTTCGAAAGCAAGAAATTGCAAGTAGATAAATAGGTACCACTTCAGTGGGAAGGTAACAGCGTTCCGTGTGCCTTGGTGTTTAGTCATGCCAGCCACATGACCACGGAAATGCCTTCGGACAGTGCTGGCTCTTCGGCTCTGAAACGGAGATGAGCACCGCAACCCTAGAGTCGGATTCGACTGGCTTTCGAGCAAGGGAACCTTTACCTTTAAGCTGCCCTGAGGCTGCCTTGGTGGGGAGGGCGGGATATAAATTAAATAAATAAATAAGAGCTAACCCACATTCCCCACACCTGCCCCGCATGCAACTGAGAGTCATGGCTTCAGTGTGATAGCAGCTCCACCTGGTACCACTTTTCCTGTTCAGATCTGCCTGGCATTCTACACGGGAAAGAGACAAGAGCCTTAAGACCAGGCGCTGAAACATTTTTCTCTCTCTCTCCCCTTTCCCTTTAAAACATCCAGCCTGGTGAAGAGTTCTAGAGGAAACTCAAAAACTTGCACACAGTTTTTGACTGGTACAGCTGGTCCTAATAAAATGTATTGCATGGCTTTTGGGTGGGGTTTTTGCTTTGCACCAACATGGCTTCCTGCTGCTTATGTCTTGCCCACCATTGCTGAATAGCCCCCAGTCAACCTGTCCTCTGTGGAATCGGCCCGATCTTTTGAGAGGAAACCGTCTGATTTCGGGGCCCGATCCTTACACCACCTCCCAGCTTTATTGCTCAATGCCCCCAGGAGGAAAGGAGGCGGGACAGTGAGACAATGGATGCAAAGCTCTTCAAAATACTGAAATCTAAATGTGAAATGTGGTGATATTTGGAGGGTGGGCTTGGATTCAGACTTCAAAGTGCCCTTCCTGATTCTGAAATGGGAGTTGAGCATTTAGACCACAGAATCAGGATGCATCTTGGTCTTTGGGGGCTTGTCAGATGACAGCACTCCTGCATTTTATTGGGAGATACAGAAAAGACGTCAGATACCAGTCAGCTTAGGCTGCCTAATGCACAGCCAGTGTGGTGCCATGGACAGAGTGCTGAATAGAGTCCTGGCCCCACTGGTGGACCTCCTGATGGCACCTGGTATTTCTGGCCACTGTGTGACACAGAGGGTTGGAGGATGGGCCTTTGGCCTGATCCAACATTGGCGTCTCTTATGTTCTTATGTTCTTAGCTAGGGAGACCCAGGTTCAAATCTCAGTTTTGCTTGAAGCTTGCTGGGGTGACCTTGAACCAGTCATTCTCTCTTAGTTTTGCCTAGCTCTCGGGGCTGTAGTGAAATTAAAATGGGGAACAGAGCATTGTGTACGTTCCCCTGAGTTCCTTGGAG